CATTCCTGCCCGTGAGAGGATGTTTTTAGCATATTTATTTTGTGAGAGGAATAGGCCATGCTTATGGCGAGTGACATCAATACCCAAGAAGTAGTTGAGATGTCCTAAGTCTTTCATAGCAAACTCGGAGCTGAGGAGAGATATGATGGACTGTCGCGAAGTATCAGATGATGTGGTGAGGATGATGTCATCTACATAAAGTAAGAGATATGCTAGATGAGAGCCTTTCTTGTAGATGAATAGAGATGGATCGCTTTTGCTTTAATAGAAACCAATCGATGAAGCATAGTCGGCGAACCTCTGGTACCAAGCTCTAGGGGCTTGTTTAAGCCCATATAGAGATTTGCAAAGACGACATACATGATCAGGATGTTTGGAGTCTCAGAATCCTAATGGTTGGTACATATACACTGTTTCTTTGAGTTCACCATGGAGAAATGCATTCTTGACATCCAACTGATGAATATTCCAAGATTTTGAAATGGCAAGGCTGAGAATAATGCGAATGGTAGCCGGTTTGACAATGGGGCTGAAGGTTTCTCCACAATCAATGCCAACCTGTTGACCTGCATCATCACCTACAAGTCGGGCTTTATGCCTCTCAAATGAACCGTCAGATTTTTCTTTGTGTCTAAAAATCCACATAGATCGAATAACATTAACATCAGGTGGTCGTGGCACTAAATCCCATGTCTCATTTTTAATTAAAGCATTATATTCATCATGCATGGCCATTTTCCAATTCGGGTCCTTGAGTGCAGACACTGGATTTCTAGGGAGAGGGGATTTTGTGACATGAGTTTGGAGACCGTAATATTTTTGGTTTGGCTTAAAGATGTCGTGTTGACTTCTAGTGGTGGGTTTTGTGTTGGCTTGGGAGGTAGGTTGGTAGATGGGAGGAAGATTATGTGGCAGAGTATGATTTGATTGTGTTGGGAGAGGTGATTAGTGTAAGGTTGAGGTTGGATTTGATTGGGGTGTATTCGGCAAGGTTTGGGTGTGGGCCGAAGTATGGGAAGTAGTTTGAGTGGGAGAGGAGATCGGTGGATTGGATGTAGAGTTGTTTTGGTCTTGGGTTATAATATGGTTGATGAGGTAAGGGGATAAGTCATTGTTTAGGAAGGTGTAAGTGGTAGATTGAGGGGTGTGCAGCTTTGCATATGGGAAGGTAGACTCATCAAATAATACATGACGACAAATGATTATTTTTTGTGTGGTCATATCTAGACACTTATAGCCACGATGGTTGGACGGATACCCAAGAAAGATGCATGGTATGGAGCGTGGTTGAAGTTTGTGGATGGTACTTGAGGGAAAGAGAGGAAAACATAGACAACCAAAGACACGCAGATGAGAGAAGGATGGGTTCTTGTTGTATAACATGTGGAGAGGTGACCAAAACTTAATTAGTTTACTGGGCAAAATGTTGGAAATATATGTGGCCATTTCTAGAGCATAATGCCAAAATGAAGGTGGTAGGGATGCATGAATTAATAAAGTTCGAATAATGTTATTAATGGACCGTATTTTTAGCTCGGCTTTACCGTTTTGAGAGGAAGTGGAAGGACAAGAGAGACAAAATGATATTCCATTAAGTTCACACATTTGTCGAAAATTCTTAGAAATGTATTCGCCACCATTATCACATTGAATAGTTTTGATTTCCCGTTGAAATTGAGTTTTGATATAAGCTCTTAATTTTTGAAAGATGGGATAAACTTGAGATTTATGAGACATTGGGAATGTCCACAAAAAATTCGAATAGTTATCCAGAAATAAAACATAATATTTGTGACCTATTGAGCTTAACACGGGAGATGTCCAAACATCACTATGTAGAATGTCAAATGGCAACGAACTATTATTAAGAGAATTTTTGAAAGGCAATTTGATATATTTACCGAGAGGGCATGAATTACAAAAATGAGAATGTAATTTACTAGGTGTATTACATTCAACCAACTTATTTTTGCTAAGAAAAGACAAAACATGTTCGCCCGGGTGTCCCAGACGATTATGCCAGACAGATGACGACAAAGCTGCAAAAGTGGATGGATGATTAGCTGTATTTGTGGTCTTGTGGTTGGTGATGGGATAAAGGTCACCTTGGCTTTCACATCTCATGATAGGCATCCCCGTCTGAAAATCCTTCACAGAAAAGCCAAACGGGACAAATTCAACTGAAACTTTATTATCTGTAGTGAATTTTCGAACAGACACTAAATTTTTAATTAAATTTGGAGCGTGAAGAACATTGTTTAGTACAAGAGGTGGGTGGAGGTTAGCTAAATGTGTGCTTCCAAGACCATGAATTGGAACAGAATGACCATTTCCTACAATGATGTTATTATCTTTGCTTAATTTAAAATAGGACGAGAGATTACGTTGCGAGGAAGTCATGTGAGAGGTGGCACCGGTGTCCATGTACCATGACGGGTCGAGCTGGGCAAGGTTGAGGGTGCTAAAAGCACGTTCAATATCTGTTGGACTGGTAGTGTTGGCATTAAAAGCAACTTGCTGAGGTTTGGGGCCAAGAATTCCACCTTGTTAGGGTTTAGGACCATTAGTGGGTCTGTTCCAATTGGATGTTGGGTAAGGGCAATGTGGGTAATTCCAAGGTCCCCATTGTTGCCAGGGATGGTAATTCCATGACTGCCACTGTGGTTGTTGTTGTCCACGGTTTCCTCTTCCAGAATTTCGGCCTCCACGGTATGGTTTCTTTCCTCTTTGACTGCGATTGTTGGATGAATGTGGTTGCGGGTTCGGAGCTGAATCTTGTTGTTTGATTGTAGGTTCGGTCGAAGGACCTTTAGCCAAAAGGGTGGCCGAGATAGAGGATGAGTGTGTTTCGCGGGCTGCGCGCTGCATCATGGTGGTTTCCTCGAGTTCCAGTCTCGATCGGGCGGCTGCAAAGGTGGGTAGAGGGTCGTGTTGCTGGATAAAGGTGACAAAACCAGCATATGAATCTGTGAGTCCAGATATCATCTTGAGAACTAAACGTGTGTTGGTGACTGGAGAGTCCACGTTTGCGAGTTGATCCGAGAGAGTTTTAAGGCGGGTGAAGTAAGCTTTTGTTGATGGAAAATCTTCCAGGTTTGTGTTACTGAATTGATTTTCCAATTGCACGGTGCGGGAGTGTTTGTTGTCATGAAACATAGCGGTTATGCGCTTCCAACACTCTTCTGCAGTGTCATCTAAGACTAGGATGGATTGTAGAATATCCTGCAATACTGTTGCGTACATCCATTGCAACACTACTGCATCAAGGCGATTCCAAAGTTCAGAATCGGCAGTGTTAAGTTCGGCTTATGCTTGTATGGTCTGGACTTCCGAAGGCGGAATAATGTGATCAAGAACGTTGTGAACACGTGCCTGCACTTTGAATAGGGAAGACCAAGAGAGGTAGAGATTAGAATCATTTTCCAACGTCACTGGGATGATGGTTTTGACGTTGTTGATGGCGAAAGCGGAGTGGAATTTGGATGCTGCCGCCTGAGAGGGGTTGGATTTTGAGGGTGATGAAGTTTCATCAGATGTTCGAGAGTGGGAGCTTTCTTCTGCCATGGTAGAACAGAAGGTGTGCGGCGGCTGGAAAATTTTGTAGAGTTAGGAACGTGATAAATCTGATACCATGTAAGAATTGAATTCCCTGCTTCTCATTGATATTCTTTGTCCTAATATACAAGTGTGAATATCTCTATATTTGGAAGCTAATAATATACAGTTATTATTATACTAATTAGAATATATCCTAATAACATACAATTATGATTATACTAATTTTATATATATATATATATATATATATATATATATATATATATATATATATATATATATATATATATATATATATATATATATATATATATATATATATATATATATATATATATATATATATATATTCTAATAACTATTACCACCATGTTTTTGGTTACATTCTTACCCTTCATCTTCTTGCTTACATTCTAGTCCCTGATAATCATCTTGGTTACAAATAAGTCCCTCAGCTACTAAATCAGTTTTAATACTTACCAGATAAGGCGTGTCATCCAATATATCATCTTCTTGGTCACATACAATATGATCAACGGTCCCATCTAAAGTAATATCCACTATTGCATCCTCTGACAAATGTCTCCCTCAAAATTAATATCCTGACATGACTCTTTTTGGTTAATATCCTCAGTGGTCCCACCCACATTAACATCCTCAAATGATCCTTCTCGGTCAACTGCAACTGAATCTTCTACACCAGTGGGTCATCCTTCATCAAACTTGTCACCTAGATTATTCAAATTTTCAATGGTCCCTAATTCATCAAAAGTTTCTTTTATACCATTATTCAATTCATCCAACGTGTCATCTTCTAAATTGTCGTCTTCTACATCATTGGAATCTACATTGTTTTCCATAGACAATATTTGCTCTTCCTTAAAGTTAACTTAAAAAGAGTATATTGTAATGTTTTTTGAATTGTGGGACTAAATAGAAAGAATAAATTAAGTTAAAAAACTAAAAGATGAATTAAATCTAAAATTTTAGTGTAATTGAAAGAATTTGGGGGTGTTAGTAAAAAAATTAAGAAAGGTTGAAACAAGTCAATGAAATGAATTAGTAGTATTAATATATAGTTGAATGTAAAAACACATACTATCAAATGTATAGATGATAAATATAAGTTTTTTTGACTGAAATTTGAAAAATAAAAAAGATAGGTTTTTAAAGGGTAATTTGGTAAGGAAATATACGTTAAATTTATTGAATAAAAAGGTTGATGATTCCCTCGCTGTGAGTCTAATCCAAGTCTTTTTCTTGTTCTTGTTTGTGTAAGGAAGGACTGATGATACTCGTTCTTTCTTGTAACTTGTAGTAATAATAAGCATCCCAAAAGAAAACAAAAGAATCATCATCTTTATTATTATTAACCAAGAGAGAATTGGAAGATGAAGGCTTGATTGAAGAAGATTGCGTGTGTTGTGAATCAGAGAGATTGAATGGGCTGTTTTTCGTGTTTCGATTCGAAAGAGGACGAGAAGCTGAATCCTCATCCTGAACAAGAAACACACAATCACGATCATCACAATCACAATCACAATCTCCCCTCTGCCGCCTCTGGTTAGTTCATTTGAATCCAATCCAATCCGATCCGATCATTCTTTCTTTCTTTCTTTCTTCACAAATCAGATCCCGTCTTGATTGCAGGAGGAGCAGAGAAGCTTCGGTCAACTAGTAATGGAGGAGCATCCAAAAGGGAATTTCCTGCTCTTCTCAAAGACGGTCCACCAGGTCAAATTGCTGCTCAAACCTTTACTTTCCGTGAACTTGCCCTTGCAACTAAAAACTTCAGGCCTCAGTCCTTTTTAGGGGAAGGTGGTTTCGGAAGGGTTTACAAGGGACGCCTCGAATCCACTTCTCAGGTATTTATCTATCATCATCCTTTTTCTTCTTATCCTATCCTATTCTGCAATTATCCTATCCTATTCTGCAATTATCCTATCCTATTCTCATCTTTCTTCAATTACAGGCTGTCGCTGTTAAACAGTTGGACAAAGACGGTCTCCAGGGTAATCGCGAGTTCCTTGTCGAGGTTCTCATGCTCAGTCTTCTACACCATCCTAATCTTGTCAGTCTCATTGGATACTGCGCCGATGGGGATCAACGACTCCTTGTTTATGAGTTTATGCCCCTCGGATCATTGGAAGACCACCTCCACGGTATTATTCTATTCTTTTTCCATTACTATTGTCTTTTACAACTATCATCATCACAAAATATCATACTTTTGTTACTATCTATCAACTCTTATGCATTACTAGCACAACTGGGGATAACATTACAAACTCAATGTTAGTTGACACCATTTACAAACCTATCCTTTATCATGCCCCCGTAAGCTCAAGCAAGGCTGAATTAACACTCTACACACACAGTGAGCTTATTGCCAAGCTTTTCAAATTTTGAGGGAACAACAGCCTTAGTCATTACATTTGCACATTGTTGATGACCAGACCAGGAATATGCACAATTTGGACTTGATTTTCAACATCTTTTTCTCTCACAAGGAACAGATCTAACTCCATATCTTTTCTAGTTGCTTGAGTTGCCAACCTCTAAAGAGAACAAGAGTTAGAATTGTCCTTACAATGACTGGCTTAACCACATGAAAAAAAATAAAAATTCAGTGTAGTATTCACCATATTTATTTATGAAAACCCTTAGCTACAATACAAGCCTAGCTTTGTACTTATTGATGGAACCATCGGGATTCACTTAAACCCTCAAGATCATCCATTCGCATCCAATAGGAGATTTTCCAGCTGGTAGTGGTACTAGTGACCAAGTAGCATTTTTAAGCAAGGCATATTCATAATTCATTGCAGCAAGCCAAGTTGGATTGGAAAGAGCTTGTTTAGTTGTTTTTGGTTCAGCATGAGCCAAAAGAAGATTAGGCCGTACCCTTGGACATACAAAACTAGATTCCAATCTGGTTCTCATGGAATGATCATTAACTGGTGCCTCAATAGGAACTTTGTATTCAACAGTTAATTTTGCATGACTAGGTGATGTGACAGGATTTTGGGACTGATTTTTGCAGAGAGAAGGACTGGAATTTGAATACTTAGAAGTACAGGTTTGAGAATTTGTGGCATATGCATTAGACAAACTAGGAATGGGATTAGAACTAGGTAATTAAGATGAAGGTGATCTGTGTGGAATAGGAATGGAAATAGTAATAGGTGAGAACAAATGCGGTGGGTAAAGGACACAAAACGGTTGAGACACTAAAGGCAATGATACTGAAACCTCAGGTGATTAACTTGTTTTTGAGACAGGAAGGAATACTATATTTTAAAGGGAAATTGAGTAACTGGTCTGAATTTCCCTCCCCAATCAGATTGGACAGCTTTGGTTTTAAAGGGAAATTGGTTTTCTACCATGACTTTGAATTGTTGAAAAATGGTTAAAGCTTTGGATTTTGTTTTAAATAAGAATATCCAAGTAAATCTAGTGAAGGTATCTACAAATGACATGCAATAGGAGACACCAGTACTAGAAACTACTGGAGCTGGTCCCCAAAGATCACTATACACTAACTCAAGAGGATTAGAGTAAGTAGTAGTAGATAAATTTGGGGGTAATCTATGAGTTTTTATCAAACAACAGGATGAACATAAATCAAATAATCCTTCATTAGTATATGGAATGTCACAGTGTTTCAAACCATGCTTTTGCACATCAACACCAGGATGGCCTAGCCTAGCATGCCAAAGAGAAAGGCTCCCTTTCACTCCTCCTCTTTTAAATAACTGTGCATACTTGACTTTCTCTTTTAGAATCTCATTCCTGTTTAGCTAGTAGGTTGTTCTTGGTGAGTAACCAACTTTCCATGGATAAGCTCTTGTAGGTTAGCATTTGTTCTCTACAATGTTATTTAGTTTTTTACACTTCCACTTAAATGTGCTAACAAAGTTTCCCTTTTGATGCTTTTTGTTAAGAGTCCCACATCGGACAATATATGACATGAACATGTGTTTATAAGTGGGGGCAATCCTCACTCTACCAACCGGTTTTATAGGGTTGAGTTAGGCCCAACCACAATTTCTTAACACTTTTGATTATTCCGCAACTTTTTGTCTTGAACTTACTAGTGCTAAATAATTTTCTGTGGGTTTTTTTTCCTTGTAATGAAACAGCTGTGCATCTAAGCTCATTATGTTATGTGCTCTTAGTTGAATACTTTCCACACTGCTCCTTTCCAATGTAGTTGTTTGAGAAGCCCGATCAACTTAGCGTGTGGAATAGCATTCCTTTTTGATTCCAAGTTACAGAAATGGAATCCATACATCTGATAACCAATTAACCGTTGTATTGTCTGCTATAGAGGTGTTCTGTTTTTTCCTTTACAGTATCTGTCTTCTGATGATTGGGAAGTGTTCCTAAACTTGGGAAGCATGGAGGATAAATGCTGTTTGTTACACGTTCACTGCATTCTTAAAACATAATGCATGTAACTTGATAATAACTTGTGTTTATTCATTTTTTGTTGACTCATGCAGATCTCCCCCCTGATAAGGAGCCATTAGATTGGAACACTAGAATGAAAATAGCTGCCGGTGCCGCAAAAGGATTGGAATACCTGCATGACAAGGCAAATCCTCCAGTAATTTATAGGGACTTCAAGTCATCTAATATATTACTTGAGGACGGTTATCATCCAAAGCTTTCTGACTTTGGTCTGGCAAAGCTTGGTCCTGTTGGGGACAAATCACATGTTTCCACTCGTGTAATGGGTACTTATGGTTACTGTGCTCCTGAGTATGCTATGACTGGACAGCTGACTGTAAAATCTGATGTATATAGTTTTGGGGTAGTCTTCTTGGAGCTGATTACTGGCCGTAAAGCCATAGACAGCACCCGGCCCCATGGAGAACAAAACCTTGTCACATGGGTAGTTCTCTGATATTTTCTTGTCAATTTATGTAAATTTAGGTTGCATCAACTTATGGTTTTATAATGGTGGTTTCATATTTTTGAGCAGGCACGGCCTTTATTCAACGACCGTAGGAAGTTTCCAAAGCTGGCAGATCCACGGTTGCAGGGGCGGTATCCCATGCGGGGTCTTTATCAAGCTCTAGCTGTAGCATCAATGTGCATTCAAGAACAGGCAGCTGCGCGTCCTCTGATTGGGGATGTGGTGACGGCCCTTTCTTATCTAGCCAATCAGGCATATGATACTAACAATCCTGGAATTGGTAATAATAAGGGAACTGGAAATAGAGATGATAAAGGTGGAAGAATATTAAAAAATGATGAAGGTGAAGGATCCGGGCGTAGATGGGATTTGGAGGGATCTGAGAAAGATGACTCCCCACGTGAAACTGCTAAGATGTTAAACCGGGATCTTGATAGAGAACGTGCTGTTGCTGAAGCCAAGATGTGGGGAGAGAACTTGAGAGATAAAAGACGACAGAGTGTGCAAGGCAGTTTTGATGCTTCTAATGCCTAGTTTACATTCTGTAAATCGGAGCATTGCCTTCTGTAATATCTTGATTGCGGCGATGCAATGTGAGGTGAAATTTTTTGGGCTCTCATCTTTCTTAGAGCTGGTCTAGGACAAGTCTGAATGGCCATTTTGTCGTTGACCGGGCTCTAATGTGTTTGCAGTGGCTGCAACATGACATAATGAACCTGGTACCAAAATCTGTTACTTGAGCCTTTTGTGCACTTTGTTTTCCTTTATGTATTTCATTTTACCTGGTCGTCATGGGCATAACGACGTTGTACATTATTTGCCAGAACTAGACACTAGGAGTTCAAGGTTACAAAACTGGTATTTTAGAAAAATGCTGCGGAAAAACATGTAAGAATAAAATACTTGTTCTAACTTGTAAGTTTTGCTCGAACTAAAATGAGAGAATCCAATATTCTTAGAGCATCATCGTGGGTGCTTCACAAGTTTAACACCAATCTAAATATGCATCCCTATTGTGGAGTGAAAAATGAGTCTATTTATAGAGATCGATTGTTGTAGAAATACCCTCCACTTTTATGTTGGTTACATCCGTTTCAAAAAACTGATTATTGTTTAAATTTTTTGGATGAATGTAATAATATTGTCCGAAGATAATATATTTTTACTAAATTAATCATGTTAATGTGTTATATAGTCTACAGAATAATAATTAAAGGTTTAATAATTCTTTTAGTCCCTTAACTTTAACGGTCCACTAATTTATACTTTGTTACATATTTTAGTCATTTCTGTTAGTTTTTGTTAAAAAAAAATATTAAAATTTGTTTTGCTGGACTTTAAATGGCTGAGGTGAAATTTGTATTTATTTTATATTAATTAAAATATTACAAATAAGTGTCATTTGAAGAAGCTGAAAGATATTAGGGCTTATTGACATTCTTGGTGAAAGCTCAGCTTGAGAGAGGGAACAACAAAGACGTTGTGCACGTAGGTTCCATTGAAAACGATAGCGACATTCTTGGTGAAAGCTCAGCTTGAGAGAGGGAATAACAAAGACGTTGTGCACGTAGGTTCCATTGAAAACGATAGCGACACTGTTCACAACCCTCCATTGAAGACGAAATTCACTCATCAATCGTTTGCAGATGAAACCATAAGGTACGAACTTGCAATAGTAAGTTACTAAAAATGTCAACTTCCTTCTTTACCCAACTTACTTAGTACTTCTGATACTATATGTAGGTTGAATTAGGTCACAGAGAGTAAGTTTAAGTGTGTTGTTCATCATTCTGGTGAGTTTTTAGGGAGTTTGTCAATTTTATCAAGTCAGGTTATGTTGGGTTAGAGGAAATTTGAGATGTTGATCCCGATTATTGGAGTTACTTTGAAATATTGGACAAATTAAAAGAGTTAGGTTACCCTACTATAGATAAACTTTGGTATTATGATGACATGTATGCTAATGATATAATTCTGTTAGAAAATGACTAGGGGACTGATAGGATGAGAATAATTGCAGTGATAACTGGGGAATGTCATTTGTATGTTACAAGTCAACCAGTTTAAGGAGAGAGCAGTGAAAATCTTATTCAAATGAATCTTCACTTTCAGAGGATGTATGTATGTCTCAAAGCTTGTAAGGACAATTTTTTTTAAGTGCAGACCTATTATAAGATTAGATAATTGTTTCCTAAATGGATATTATGGTGGACAAATACTAGCTACTATTGGGAAGGATCCAAATGACCAAATGCTATCAATTGCATATGTTGTTGTTGAGGGTGAAACTAAAGACTCATGGATATGGTTTTTAGAATTATTGATACCTGATTTGGGAAGAGTCAGATTGTGCAAAACATATACCTTCATTAGTGATTAACAAAAGGTTAACTCTCACCTTGAATTTTATCTGTTAGCCAATTGTTTAAATATCACCATTAATCTTACTTACTTTTTAATGCAGGATTTGCTGCCAGCTATTGATGAATTACTTGGTAATGTTGACCAGAGATTCTGTGTTAGGTATTCTGTTTACGTAAATGTTACATATGATTTACTTGGTTATGTTTGCATTACATGATTTTAGATATTTTGTTTACATACATTGTGCATTGCAGATATTTATATAGCAACTTCAATAAGAAGTTCCCTGACCTAAAATTGAAGGAATTGATGTGGAGGGTTGCATGTGCAAGTTATGTAAATGCTTGGGAGAAAATAATGCTTGAAATCAAGGGAGTTAATGAAGAGGCATTCAAACATCTCATCAAAATTCCACCAAGATTCTGGAGCAAATCAAGGTTCATACCAAGTACATGATGTGACACTTTGGTTAATAATATGTCTGAGGCCTTCAACTCTGTGTTTGTAGCTACTAGATCCAAGCCCATTGTGACAATGCTTGAAGAAATTAGAGTGTATCTAATGCAGAATGAGAATCCAATAGAAAAGTATTGCCAAATATGAGGGTATCATACTACCAAACATCAAGAACATGATGGAAAGGGAGTCACAGAAAACCAATCATTAGATTGTTAGATAACATGGTTGATTTGTTGTTCTTTTACTTTACTAAATGCATATGTTGAATATTACATTGACTAACATTAAAATAACTACTTTTTTACAGGCGTGCAGGTGAATATGACTATGAGGTAAAGCATATTTCACTAAATGGAAAAAAATATGTTGTCAACCTTTACAAGAAAGAACGCTCATGTAAAATAGGATGATGACTGGACTTCCATGCTGTCATGCAATGTCTTGCATGAAGGATCAACATTTACAAATTGATGACTTTGTACCTGACTGTTACAAGAAGGAACAATATTGAGCTTGCTATGCACTTGTTATTTATCCACTTAATGGGGAAGTCTTGTGGGCAAAAACTAGTGTTGTTAATCTTTAGCCACCGCCAATAAAGAGGCAAGTTAGAAGGCCAAAGAAAAAAAGAAATAGGGAAGCTGGAGAAATGGTGCAGGATGACACATACATGAAAAAGGCAAAGCATGGTATCAAGTATAGTTGTTGCCACAAGGACGGTCACAACAAGGCTACCTGTAAACTACCACAACTACAAGCTCATCCAAGTCAGGTACAAGAAGGAACAAATGAGCCACCACCAACAAATATTTTAAGTCAGGTACAATAAGGAACAAGTCAGCCACCACCACCAGTTGTTACAAGTAAGTCACAACCACTTATTGTTACAAGTCATCCACCACCACCAGTTGTTACAAGTCAGCCACCACCACCTATTGTTACAAGTCAACCACCACCAAAAACTAAAAAAACTTTCATAAGGGTGGAAAACCTGTTTCAAGTCAACCTTGTCTTTTGTTATTATGTTTGGTCACACCTTGTAATGTAATATTGTTATGCCTTTTAATGGCCTATCTGTTTTGTTTTTGCAAGGCAAATTTTGGAATGTCTTTTTGTAAGGCACATTTTGGATTATTTACAATTGCTCATCTGTTTTGTATTTGTACCACATTTTGGAATGTTATATTAATGTTTTATAATGGCCTTTTGTTATTGAACCAGTTATGTATTAAATTTTAGATCTGTTAATGAAAGTCGAAATGACATATAACGCCAAATTATATTACTGTATGGTTCCCATAAAGTCCCTTAATTTTATAATTTATTTTATAATTTGTTGGAAATTGGTCTATTTACTATTTTGTACCAGTTATGTATCACAAATAGTTATGTATCAGAGATGTGGTGAGACAAATGTGTTGAAATAGACACTAAAATTATTCATTAAACCAACTTAACAATACATTGAAAATGTGAAAGCATAACATTGAACTAACATAATTCTAATTGAAATACATTGTTACAAACACAAGGTTCAACCTAAGATCAACATCTCAACCACAATGGACATTTTCAGTCATCCTTTAGTGTAGATAGTCTCATTCTTCAATTTGTTAATTTTTTTATTTTGTCTTTCAAGTTTCAAATCCCTTTCATCAACAAACTCGTCACTTAACCACTTGAAGAAATTGACACTATTCACATTATTTTTCATCTTGGCAAAAGTACTTTATTCTCTTATTTCTACGAATCACAGATTCAGATGTACCAAAACTTTGGTTGTTTGACGTTGAAGGATTGCTTGCAATCTTTGACATTGAACCCTAATTTGGAGAAGAAAATGGAAGATGGAAGATGAAAGAAAGAAGATAGTGATTTAATCTTAATTTGGAGAAGAAAATTGAAGAAGAGGAAATGTGGATGAACTCTGTAAGTGGAAAATGATGGAACCCAAGAACCCTAGAGCATTTATAACCATGTGTTAAATGTTCAATTTACCATTTGCTTACCTGACATACCACCTCACCCATAGTTAACGTTTTTTTTTACAGAAACTAACAGTAGGGACCAAATGGTTTAACGAAAGTGAAGTTAAGCGATCATTATGTAACGTTTTTTTTAGTTTGGAGAGCAAAGCGAAACTTCTCTCAAACTTAAGGGACCTAGGACTAATTATGTCATAATTAAATGAAACAATTGAAAAAATATTCGTCATTTATACATTAAAAAGTGAGAATAAAAGTCATTTTGAAATAAATTTTATTTGTTATTTCCTCTGCCCCAAAATAAAAGTATTTCTAGTCAAAAAAATTTGTCACAAAATAAGAGTCTTTTTAAGTTTTCAATGCAACATTAATTAATTTTTACCAACTTTACCCCTAATAAATATTTTCTACACTACTTTCAAAATATTACATCATGCTATATTTTTATGACAATCAATAGTAATTAAGAACATTTTTGTAAAATTATTACATTTAATAATTATTTTTCTTAATTTATGTGCAATAATTTTAAAATACTTTCATTTTGAGATGTAGGGAGTAAAACGAGAAATCATTTTAAAACGGAAGAGGGAGTAAAATGAGAAATCATTTTGAAACGGAAGGAATAATAAAATAAATCATTTTTGTTGGAATACAATGTTATAGAGTTATTGGTGGAATTTATTTAGTTTTTTTTTTTGACGTGTTGGATTAGAGACATTGAAT